GAACATCATTAAAGCACAGTGATGAATCACAAAAACAATATGTAATTATATATGTGTTTTCCGATGGTCTTAGGCGACCCCTGTGAAAGGGTCGTTTGACCCCCAAAGGGGTTGCGACCCACAGGTTGAGAACCGCTGTTAAGCCTTAGAAAGTCCCTGTAAACATGTGGACTCTTACCTAACACTGGCCTTCCATTTTAGCAAGGGCTTAAAGTTGATTTTTTTTTTTTTCAAATCACAGTAAGTATTCTGTAATTATTTATCTCAATTGTGATAAATAGTTCAGATTTTTCTTTGACCTAAAACCCAGTTGAAATAAACAGTCCCCAAGTCTCCTGTGCTGGAAGAATAATTTGAATGATTCCTGCTCCTGTCTCTTGTCTAGCAAATTCTTGTTAAGGAGCAAGAGGAAGTTCTAAGACCTTATTAGTATACTAGAGGCCCGGTGCATGAAATTCGTGCACTCAGGAGGGTCCCTCAGCCCAGCCTGCACCCTCTCGAAGTCCAGGAGCCCTTGGGGGATGTCTGACTGCTGCAGAGACGGGAGAGGCTCCCACCACTGCCGCTGCACTCGCCAGCCATGAGCCCAGCTCAGGGCTTCTGGCTGAGTGACACTCCCCCTGTGAAAGCACACTGACCACAAGGGGGCAGCTCCTATGTTGAGCATCTGCCCCCTGGTGGCCAGTGCTCGTCATAGCGGCCGGTTGTTCCACGGTTCGGTCGATTTGCATATTAGCCTTTTATGATATAGGATTAGCTGGTCCAGATGTTGAAATGTGCAACTCCGTACCCAGCTGTGCTGCTCTCTATAGCTGCTTGCCTTTGGGTCCTGCCCAACGCAGTGAATAAGAAAAAGTGCATCATGAGGAAATGAAACTATGTTTTTATAACTTAAGTGAAAATGAGGTTAGGAAAGTAAACATGTTAGGTACATCGATAGAATCTTGTAACTGCTACGGAAGATTTTTGTGCAGGCCAATGAGTTTCTCAGATTTCTTTCTGTCTGTGTCTGAGATTTCTTTCTGTTTGTGTCTGAATGGGGAGCGCAGTTCTCTCCTTGTTTAATCGAAGCAGACTCCCTCCAAGTCCACGTGTTCAGCAAAGGTCAACAGCCTGTGCCAAGTATGTCTGCCCCTGTGGACACGCCACCCCCCGCAGGTGCAGGTGGAACCCAAAACACCGCCACCTGGCACACAGATAGCCACTCACGAAACCCCGATCATGGGTGCAAAAACCATGTTAGAAGTAGGCAGTGTCGTTTGTCATTCCGCCATGAAAAACCGTATAATGCACCCGGGAACCCCATGGACTTCCATCTGGGTGGCCCTCACCAACAGATATATTAATCTCACGCCTACATCTAAGGAGAGGCCCACCATTCTGTTAAAGGGGCCTGGCTCCTTAGAGAATTCCGTTGCAGCCTGGCCAGTGTGGCTCAGTTGGTTGTAGCGTCCGCCCGTACCCCAAAGGGTCCCAGGGTCCTTCCTTCCATCACGTAGGTGACTGTTCGATTTTATACCACCAGATTCAAACTTTAACTTGTCAGCTCCGCTTACAAAGTGCTCGGAGTCTCTTAATACAATCCGATCTTAACCACGTCTTTACCTTCAACTGAAATGTCCTGAATGGCGAAGCGGAGGATGATGGTCCAGATCATGCCCAGCGTCATCTTCACGTTGCCATCCACAATTTCTTTAGAGGAAAGAAAAGCCGACAACAGACTAGTGTTAAAGATAACACAACCAGAACCTGCAGTGTTCCTGTAAGTTATGCTTCCCCTACGTCTTGGCTTCAGAGCTACTGGAAAAAATACATATGGAAAGACCAGCTTATGTTTCCATAGGTGTCGAGCTGTGTCTAGTTAAAAATTCTTAACCAAATGTCTCCTGTTTAAATGAATTTTGAGTTAATACCAAGCACAAGGCTTACCTATGCATAACCACTAAATACAATGCATGAGTTTCCAAAGTTTAAAGACGAGATGAGTTAAAGTTCTAAATATACTTGCGCCCCTTTTTCCTCGGGGGGTACATTCTAAGGACCCAGTGGATGCCTGAAACCGAGGACGGTGCTCACCCCTATATATCCCACCCTTTTCACGTAAGGGATGCACTTTCTCTTTGGCGTATCCGAATTGCCAGCGCCACTACGCTCACGCTTCTGGACCATGACTATGGGTGACTTGAACCCAAGTGGACCCGAGAACCACTGGGCCAAGTGACTGACAGGTGGCGAGCACAGACAGCGTGGAGATGAGGGACGAAAGGATGATTCCCATCCCAGAATGGAGTGGGACAGAGCAAAACTCACCACACTGCTCAGAACGCTGCATACTTTAAAATGTATATATTGTTGCCCAGCTGGCGTGGCTCAGTGGTTGAGCGTCAACCTACAAACCAGGAGGTCAAGGTTCGATTCCCGGTCGGGGCACAGGCCCAGGTTGCGGGCTCGATCCCCAGTGTGGGGAGTGCAGGAGGCAGCCAGTCCATGATTCTCTCTCATCATTGATGTTTCTATCTCCCTCTCCCTTCCTCTCTGAAATCAATACAAATATATTTAAAGAAAATAAAACTGATATGTTGTTCATTTCTGGAATTTTCCATTTGGTATTTTCAGACCATGGTTGACCATGGAAAGTGAAACAGTGGACATGGGGGGACCACTGTAGTGACGTACAGAGAGCACAGGCTCATGGTCAGCCTGGTCCTGCCTCCAGCCCCCGGCTGGCAGGTTCATGGGGCAGGTGTGCATCATGGGGCAGGTTCATGGGGCAGATGTGTATCATGGGGCAGGTTCATGGGGCAGGTGTGCATCATGGGACAGGTGTGCATCATGACAGGCAGGTGTGTCTCGGCTCCTGCCTCACTCACAGGGACCCCTCTCTCCTCCCGAGAATAACGAGGTCACTTCCTTCTGATTGATTGGTTCTCACCCAGCGTTGATGGGATGATACGTTTTCTCACTCCTGTACTCTGAAGAGGATGGCATTACATTTGCCTCTATTCTCTTTATAGAAAGCCCTACAGCAGTGGTTCTCAACCTTCCTGATGCCTCGACCCTTTAATACAGTTCCTCATGTTGTGGGGACCCCCAACCATAAAATTATTTTCTTTGCTACTTCATAACTGTAATGTTGCTACTGTTATGAATCGTCATGTAAATATCTGATATGCAGGATGTATTTTCATTGTTACAAACTGAACATCATTAAAGCATAGTGATTAATCCCAAAAACAATATGTCATTATATATGTGTTTTCCGATGGTCTTAGGCGACCCCTGTGAAAGGGTCGTTCGACCCCCAGGTTGAGAACCGCTGCCCTAGAGCCTGGCCCGCCACTCCGGGCAGCGTCTCTTCTCCTCTCTGTGCTCGGAGCCTGGCGGGGAGCCTGACCCACGCCGGGGTCCAGCGCAGGCCCACAGCCCCCGCGAGGCCCCCGCGGCCGCTCACCTTCCGCCCCGATGGACACCAGCTTCACGCCTTTGCTGGCGATGTAATCCAAGGCTTTGTTCACGTTGGCGATTTTGTGGAAGCGCATTTTTCCCCGGTCGGGCTTGGGCAGCCTCTCCCCTGTGGGATGAAAGCCGGTCAGTGCAGACAGAGAAAGCAGCCCCCGCTGCAGAATCAAAACGCCAGCATTCCGCCTGGCGGGTGGCTCAGTGGGTGAGCCTCGACCTCTGACCCAGGAGGTCAGGGTTCGTTCCTGGTCGGGGCACCGGCCTGGGTTGTGGGCTCCATCCCCAGTAGGGGGCGCGGAGGCAGCCGATCATTGATGTTTCTCTCTCTCTTCCTCTCTGTAATCAATACAAATATATATTTTTTAAAAGCAGAGAGGGCAGCATGGGGGCCGCCATATACGTCATCTTTCCTTCTACTTTGTTACGAGGGGGGTGATATAAGCACTACCCTAACGTGTCAATTGTGAACAGAACACACTCCCTTTTTACATAGAACAACCCCGGCCGACTGCCCCTCCAGAGGCTTTCCTTCCCAACAGCTCCGCGTTCTTGCTCAGCGGGTTCCCAGGGAATGTGTGCTGCAGCCTCTAGGCCCTGGGCCACGCCTGCTCTCACGCAGACGCACGCAGACGTAGACATACGCTCACGCACACACAGACTCACGTACGCAGACTCACGTACGCAGACGCACGTACACGCACACGCACGCCAGACTCACGTACGCAGACGCACGTACACGCACACGCACGCTCACGCAGATGCACGCAGACGTAGACATACGCTCACGCACACGCAGACTCACGCACACGCACGTACGCAGACGCACGTACACGCACACGCACGCGCACGCACGCACACGCACGCTCACGCAGACGCACACGCACGCTCACGCACGCAGACGTAGACATACGCTCACGCAGACGCACGCACGGGCACACGCACGTACGCAGACGCACGCTCACGCACACGCACGTAGACGCACGCACATGCGCTGCGCGGGGTGAGGCACCCACAGACCTGAGATGACTTCCAGCAGCAGCATGAGCTTCAGGCCGTTCCTGAAGTCTTCCTCGATGTTCTCGATCTGGGTGCAAACCCATTTGTAGTAACATCTCACAGGGGCGCGGGCTCAGGGGCACGCGCGCCACGGGGACACGTGCAAACCCATCGGGGACACGTGCAAACCCATTTGTAGTAACATCTCACAGGGGCACACGCTCCAGAGACCTCCACGGGGAACACGTGCAATCAAACCCATTTGCAATAACGTCATACGGGCACGTACTCCACGGGGAACACGTGCGGCTCAGTCGGGCACACGCTCCTGGGGAACACGTGCGGCTCAGCACGGGCACGTACTCCACGGGGAACACGTGCGGCTCGGCACGGGCACACTCCTCACGGGGAACACGTGCGGCTCAGCCGGGCACACTCCTCACGGGGAACACGTGCGGCCTCTCATGCGTGCTGAGGGGGTCTAATGTGGTGCAAGAAATGATTGGAGGCCCAAGGACAAGGTTTTAGTAAAATGTCCTCTTTCGTAGACCCACACCTTTCACTGGGTGCACCAACCTGAGGACCTTTTGCCGTCAGTTTGAAAAGAAACCTGAAAACCTTTTGTATCGTAGGGAACATGAACTAAATCAGGACGCACTTCCACAACAGAAATCAGCCTGCCTGCAAAATGGATGAATAAATCGTGTGTCCACGCTGCTCAGATGTCGTACTTTGGAGCAGAGGTGGGTGGTGTGGTGTAGCAGAAAGGGGAGATGGGGAGGGACCCCTCACCCCTAACCACGAATTACCCCAGAGGAACAACAGTGTTAAGTTAGTAACTAAGCCAGTCGAACCGATTTGCAGCAACATCAATCACTAAAAAATCAATAGCGGCCTTGGCTGGCGGGGCTCAGTGTTGAGTGTCGACCTATGAACCAGGAGGTCACAGTTTCAATTCCCGGTCAGGGCACACGCCCGGGTTGCAGGCTGGAGCCCCAGTGTGGGGCGTGCAGGAGGCAGCCGATCCATGATTCTCTCTCATCATTGATGTTTCTATCTCTCTCTCCCTTCCTCTCTGAAATCAATAAAAATATATATATTTTTTTAAATTAGTAGCAGTGGCAACAAGAACCTCCTGGCACAGACCTGGACTGCAAGACAATTAGGGCCCTGCCCTGAGGGCTCGGGGTGCAGTCAGGTTAACAAGTTTCCCGCGATCTTCAGGGGAGCGGTGGGCGGCATACGAAGTGGCTTCCAAAGTCATTCTGTTTACTTTTCAAGCGTCTTTTAACTTGGCTTCCACTTGGGCACGATTTCCTGCCAGCACCAGATTAGAAACCCTCCTGGCAGCTGCGGGCTAAGAATGCACACTGTCCCCGAGTCTCGCAACAGCTGCTGGGCTCGGGAACAAAGTGCCCGCAGGCCACACGGGGCGGAGGCACACACAGGCCCGGTTAGAGGCGGAACACGAACCTCTCCAAAGCAGGCTGTTCCAGGGACGACCACAAGCGGACAGTTTCCATAAAAATGCTTTTTTTTTTTTCTGGGTAATAAAGAGGATTTTTCAAATCGGACTCAGAGTCCCTTATTGCAAGAAAAATGTGACAGCGTTACATGCAAGGGCCAAAAGAAAATAGAGGCATTTTCTTGGATTTGCAACAATAAAATTCCCCCCTGACAGCCTACTACGCTGATCTTTACTTTCCCTAAAACACAAGCAAATTTTAGGTCTAAACAGGAGAAGGAGTCTAAGAATGAGTAATCCATTTCCTGGGCTCAAAATTCAAGTGGGCCCGGCTGGTGTGGTTCAGTGGGGGAGTGTCAACCTATGAACCTGGAGGTCATGGTTCGATTCCCATCAATAAAAACATCTAAAAAAAGACATGGCGTCAAACAGGAGGTATGTACGTAGGAGAGAGTTGATTCTAAGGATCTTGCATGTGCTGCCATCAATGACCAGATGTCTTGGACGTCCATCTGGGGCCTGAATGTCCCATAACTGTCGTAAACTCCAACCGCCGCAGTGAGCAGCCCTTTCGTTCCCCGCCCACAAATCCCTGCTTCGTCTCCCCAGATCATGCGAGATAGCAGGGCAGGCGACAGCTCCCTTCAGCAATCCCTCAAAATCTGCAGCCTGGCTCTGTGGCCAGCTCCGTGTCGGGTGTGGGCAAGTCAGCTCACCTCCCCTGTAGCGGATCTCTTCCCCAGAGGACTGCACTATTTTTTTTAAATTTGTTTTGTTTTGTTTCAGAGAGGAAGGGAGAGAGAGAGAGAGATAGAAACATCAATGATGAGAGAGAATCATCGATCGGCTGCCTCCTGCACGCCCCCTACTGGGGATTGAGCCCATAACCCAGGCATGTGCCCTTGACCAAGGAATCCAACCCATGACCTCTTGGTTCCTAGGTCAATGCTCGACCACTGAGCCACACCAGCCGGGCTCAATTCTGCCTTCTTCCCCCTCATGCCACCTGCAGAACCCAGCACCCAGCAGGTGCACCTCAATTCACATATACAGAATCGGAGCCCATTCAACTCTAACACACTTCAAGTCTAAATGGTGACAATTTGCATCACAACTTCACAGAAGCATCAACAGGACCAAACTGCTGCTTTTCACTGGGTTCCAGAGAAACGCATAAACACCAATGCCATCGCTCAAAGACAAAGTAAGAAAGAAGGCAGCCTTTCCTGTCGGTTCACCCCAACAAATTCTGCCTGCACGCGGGATTTCAGATCTCTTTCCACCAGTGTCAGGATGCCCAACAATCTCAAATTAAGGGGCATGAAGGACACAAACTTCGCCAGCAGCAGGTGCCCGGGACCCAGTGGCATCAGTATGTATGTGTTAATAGCATCTTATTTGTCAGACTTTCTGGGACAAATCAGAGAGAACATCAATCAGATTTTTTATTTATTTTTTTTAAGTATGTTCTTGTTGATTTTTAGAGAGGAAAGGAGAGGGATACAGGGATAGAAACATCAATCCGCTGCCTCCAAAATGCCCCCTACTGGGATCAAGCCCACAACCCAGTCATATGCCCTGAATGGGAATCAAACCAGTGACCTCTTGGGTCCTGGATCGACACTCAACCACTGAGCAACACTGGCCGGGCCCATCAGATTTTTCAAATTGAAAAAAAAAAAAGATGGAGGAGCTAAAAATCTGCATCTGCTCAAGTTTCAGGCTTTTAAAAAGGATAATTACCATGTCAACCTTAACTACAGAATCCTTAAATGTTCCAAAGGACTCTCGGTTATCTTTTTTTTTTTTTTTTTTTTTTTTTTTTTATTGCTTAAATTATTACAAAGAGTATTACATATGTCTCCCTTTTTTTTTTTTTTCCCCGCCCTTGACAATCCCCCGGCTTCCCCTACCCCCCAGTGTCTTATGTCCATTGGTTATGCTTATATGCATGCATACAAGTCCTTTGGTTGATTTCTTACCCCCCCCCCCCCTCCAGCCCCTCGCCAAAAAAAGCGCAACCTTGTGAAAAAGAAAAGGCAACCCGGCGGCCGAGGGCATCTAAAAATAGGCTGGGGCTCGGGGATGAGACTGTAGGCGAGCAGGTTAAAGACAGCTGGAGGCTGGGCCCTCGCGGGCCTGCTTTCACTCAGAAATGCCAAGCCAGGAATGTTAGGCTCCGACTGCCGGGCTCATGGACCAACGCTGTTTAGTTCCCGAGCTGTTTGGAAAATGTAAAGGAAAGTAAAATTCTGAGGCTGCCTCACAGGAGGAAAAAAAAATGCTTCTTAGGGTTTTTAACAAAGCCAAACGAAGCCCAGACTAACTCTGGTTTAAGGAATGGCCTCTGGATATGTGGCATCTAATCCCTAACTCCCAGAAGGGGTGGAGCAGATTGAAGCTGTGGGTTTTGGAAAGTGGAAATGGCTAATGAGGATATGTGTGTGTGTGTGTGTGTGTGTGTATTCTATAATAATAAAAGGGTAATATGCTAATTAGACCGGATGTCTTTCCGGACGACCTTCCGGACGAAGCTGGGGCTGCAAGGAAAGCCCGGGTCCTGGGTGCAAGAGGGAAGCCGGTGCTGGCAGCTGGGGGAAGGACTACTCTTGCACAAATTTCATGCATCGGGCCTCTACTAGATAGATAGATAGATAGATAGATAGATAAATTTTTATTTATTTCAGAGAGGAAGGGAAAGGGGGAGAGAGAGAAACATCAATGATGAGAGAGAATCATGGATTGGCTGCCTCCTGCACGCCTCCTACTGGGGATTGAGCCCTGACTGGGAACCGAACCGTGTCCTCCTGGTTCATAGGTTGACACTCAACCCCTGAGCCACACCAGCTGGGCCCACTGGAATTTTGAACTAAGGAAATGTATTATCCATGTCTGTTTTTTATATTTATATGTCATGATTTTACCTTAAAGAACTGTCTCCCCCCTTCCCACTCCCCAAGATAACTCACTTTATTAAGCACTCAGGCAGGAGTGCAGATGAGAGAGAGACATGGCACAGGTTTAGAGTCCTTTTTCCAAAAAGAGGCCCAAGATCCAAATAATCTAAAGTATTTACTATTCCAGTCTAATTTTGTCGATTTTGATGAAGACACATAGGAATTGGTACACGAGAATGATGCACAGAACTAGCTGGAGTCTATCGCTAGTGGGTCTTAAATTACAGTATGCCCTCTCGTCCTGTGGAAATGACAACTGTCTTCGGTCTCGGCTTACTGCATTCCTTCTCCATGGCAAACGCTTCGTCTAAGATCCCACATGTGTCCCCATGTTCCCTCTCGCATGGGTCTCCATAAATAATACTGCGTTTGGGTTGAATTATTTGGAATTGCTCGCGGCTTCATAAAGATCCTACATTGATCTAGAAGCTAGTGTACTGCCATCTGTTCATGTCCTCCCTGCTCAAGAAAATATTCTACAATCATTTCATTACCACTCTCAGGAGTCCTTATTACTCATCCTCCTAAATTTTTTTAAAATATATTTTTATTTATTTCAGAGAGAAAGGGAGAGGGAGAGAGAGAGAAACATCAGTGATGAGAGAGAATCATGGATCGGCTGCCTCCTGCACGCCCCCTTCTGGGGATCGAGTCTGCAACCCGGGC